GGTGACTGATGGTGGTGGTGATGGTGATGGTGTTGGTCATGGTGGTGCTGATGATGGTGGAGGTGATGGTGATGGTGGTGATGGTGACTGTGGTATTGGTGATGGTGGTCACAGACATGCAGTTATAGTGATGGCAGTGGTGATAGGAATAGTAGGTGATGATGGTGATTCTGGAGATGTGGCAGGTGACAACGATGAGATGAAAATGCCAGAATCTTCTGGAGTGGCTCCTTCTTCGGCCACTCCTCGGCTTTCCTATGGCAGGCAGAGGGGACTCCCCGGCTCTTCCATCCCTTCCCCTCTCACTCTGGACCTGCCTCTCACCCCACCCCACGTGGCTCCCCCAGGTATGAAATAAAGGTGTTGGGCTACGATCTCATGCAGGCCATGCGCTTTGCAGTGGAGGAGATCAACAGCCAGAGCAGCCTGCTGCCTGGCGTGCTGCTGGGCTACAAAATGGTGGATGTCGCTACATCTCCAACAATGTCCAGCCCGTGCTCCACTTCCCGGCAAAGGAGGACTGTTCCTTGCCCATCCAGGAGGACTACAGCCACTGTGTGCCCCGTGTGGTGGCTGTCATTGGCCCTGGCAACTCTGAGTCCACTGTAACTGTGGCCCGCTTCCTCTCTCTCTTCCTCCTTCCACAGGGGAGGCCCCTGGGTCCTGGGGTAAGCAGCTGGGGGGCAGAGGAGTGGTTATCCAGGGGGCTCACTTCCCCCCACCGGTCCTGGGGGTAGGAGGAGGCAGGAAGTAGGGTCAGAATGTCAACCCCAATCCTAGGAAGGCAGCCCAGCCGCTTGGTTAAGAGCTCAGGCTTTGGAGGCAGACAGGGCTGGGTGTGCATCTTGGCTCTGCGTCTTGGCCATTATGAGGTCTTGAGCAAGTCTCTTAACTCTCCGAGCCTCATCTTCCCCACCTATAAAATGGGATGATAAGAGTTCCATCCTAGGACTGTCTGAACGTTAAAGGATTTAAGCTATGTAGGAGTTTGTAGGACACAGAAGCTAGTCGCTTATGTAACGGTACGTAAAGCATCTTGCACAAAGATGAAAACTCAGGAAGTGCTCGACATTATCTTGTACGGTTGCCCGGCATAAGGCCTGACGCCTAAGGGGTCCTCAAAAAAGTGCCATTGGTATGACTACTGTCATTGTAAGTGTTGTCATCGTCATCAACGTCATTGTCATCAACGCTTACATGAGGCATCTCGTCCAGGACTAAACTCATTCTTTCATATGTTTAACAAATATTTATGGAGCAGGTGCTGTTGTAGGGCTGGGGATACGGCAGGGAACAACACCTAGAGCTCATCTCCTGGTGGGAGAGCCAGGCCATGTCCGTAAACACTGTGATATAGGCTGTTGGAAAGTGAGATGTGCACCGGACAGAATGAAAAGGCCAGCAGGGTGAGGGAGGCTGGACAGGTCGGTGGGCAGGCGGGTAGGGGGAGACCTCAGTTTCAAGCGGGGTGGCCGGGAGGGTCTTTCTGACAACTGGACAACGACCTGAGGGAGGGGAAGGAGTGAGGGAGCTATGTGGGTGCCTAGGAGAAGAGCGCTCCGGAAGAGGGGGCAGCGAATGCAGAGGCCGGCAGGAGCCTGGTGCATTGGCTGAACCGGTGAGCAGCCCCGGGACCAGGCGGGACAGTAGGAGAAGATGAAGCCAGAGAGGTGAGGGCCGGGGTCAGTGGTGGAGCCCCTTGGGGGCCACTGAAGGACTCTGGCTGTCCTAGAGTGACATTAGAAGCTGTTGGGGAGTTTTGAGCTGAGGAGTAAGGTGACGGACAAGTGGTCGCACAGGCCACCCGGCTGCCACGAACAGCAGCAGAGACAGCCAAGGGGAAGGGTGGGGGGATGCTGTGATGACCCCGGGGGGGGTGGTGATGGCGGCCTGGTGAGGCCCTAGCTCACGCTGGCGGCCCTCCGCTCTCGGGCAGATCACCTACAGCGCCATCAGTGACGAGCTACGGGACAAGCAGCGCTTCCCGTCCCTTCTGCGCACAGCGCCGGGCGCCGATCACCAGATCGAGGCCATGGTGCAGCTGATGTTGTACTTCCGCCAGAACTGGATCATCGCGCTGGTGAGCAGCGGCGACTGCGGCCGCGACGACAGCCAGCTGCTCAGCGATCGCCCGGCCGGCGGCGACACCTGCATAGCCTTCCGGGAGACGCTGCCCATGCCCCAGCCCAACCAGGCGGTGACGCAGTGGGAGCGCCGGGGCCTGAAGGCCATCGTGGATGAGCAGCAGCGGCAGAGCTCTGCGCGTGTCGTGGTCCTGTTGTCGCCAGAGCTGGTCCTGCACAACTTCTTCCGCGAGGTGCTCCGCAGAACCTCACGGGCGTCGTGCGGATGGCCTCCGAGTCCTGGGCCATCGACCCGGTCCTGCACGACAGGCCCACGCGCTGCACAGCCTCCTGGGCTGCACCCAGACCAGCCGCTCAGGGTCGTCTATCCCTGGCAGGTGAGGCCCCGCCCACGGAGAGTCGGGGCCACACAGCGCAGGCGCGCCACAGCCCTGAGTGGTTGCCATGGAGACCACTGCCCTGCTCTAGCGTCCCCCTCTCTGGCCGGGTCCTGGGCAAACTGGCGGGAGAGGCCAGGGGACGTACCCTGTCCCCAGACACATAAAGCCAGAAGTATTTCATGGTGACAAAACTCCTTTTTTTACATTAATGTAGTCCTTGCCATCCAAGATAGCCTGTCCCGGCAGGAGATTTGGGTGAAGTTCCCTGGAAGGAGGCCTGGCAGGCAGTGGGCACCCCGGGCCCCCTGCCGTTTCTCCAGGGTGGCGGCCTTGGGGCAGGACTTCTGTGTTCAGCTCTCTGAGGCTCTGCCTTGGGTTTATGCATCTTCTCTCATCCCAGGTCTGGACGATTCAGAGGAGTAAGGAGGCAAGGAGTCGCCTGGATTCAGACCTGGAATTTAAATCTGTATTTTTACTGAGGATCTGGAGGACCAGAGGGGAATTTCATCAGAGATGCACACTGTGCTTGGATGCTTCCTTGTTCGTTTGTTTGCTTTAAAGTTTGGGGCTTAGGTACTCCCCTAACGCTGTCTATATTTTGTCTTTATTCTCGCCTTCCTCCCCTCTTCTCGATCCCCCCTCCCCATATGCTTGTCTGCTTCCTCCACAGAGCCATTGAGTTAGCCCTTTCAAAAACTCCCCCTTTCCCTTTATTTATTTGTAACCTCTCTACCCCATAATCTCAGCGCCTAACCTTGCAACCCTAAGTGCTTATTTTTTTCTAAAACTATAATGATTCTTTAAAGGAATTCTAGCCTCAACCAGCAGAATATTATATTTTATTGTGTGCCCTGCTACATTAATAATATGCATAATTATTATGGGTGCTTTACTGTCTTTTGAGCATCCAGTGGGCCATGAGTGCCTGGTATACATCACCCTAACTCGTGGCCATCCTACGAGGTCGATAATCCACAGATAGGAAGGCTGAGACAGGGAGTCAAAGTGACCTGTCTGTGGTGGTTTTAGTGGTGAGCAGTGGTTCGTGGCTTTGAACCCAGGTCGGCCCTTTGAACCCACCGATTTTCCCACCGTACTGTTCAGCTTTCCTAGACAACTGTGGCAACTCATTTCCTGAGCACCTGCGACGTGCCAGGCCCAGGCTGGGCACTGCGGGTGCCCCAGACCCTCACCCTGGGAAGGACAAGGACAGTCGGGAAGATCTGTCTCTGCTGAGTGCTGCAGGAGGTCAGAGTTGCAATGTGTGTGTGTGTGTGTGTGTGTGTGTGTGTGTGCGCGCGCGCGCGCGAGAGGCGGCACCGCTGGGAGTGAGAAGGGCCAGGGAGGCACTGGACATCTCAGGAGGAGAATGGTGGTCTGGGTCGTGCGATCAGGCCACTGTGACCAAAGGATGGGGGACGAGGGGAGCTGCAGGTGACATTGGAGGGCATTAAGTGCCGGATGAAGGAGCTGGGGCTTTGCTCTGGACACAGTAGGAGCCCACAGTGAGTTCCAAGGCAAGCACCGAAACTGCTGTTTTGAAGACAATCCAACAAGCCAGTTTAGGGTGGAGGTGGAGGGGTGACAGGGACAGGAAGCAGGGACCCCAGCGCACCATCCTATGGCAACGTCACCCAGGGTCTCCACTGGCGTGAACAGTGGAAATGATGCCTTTTTGTGCAGACGCGTTAGACCATGATGCCCTCTGCCCGGGGGTAGATGCCACCCTACCGCGGGCACACGGCCCGGTGAGGGGACGAGCTGACCTCCGGCTGTCCCTCTCCATTACCCCAAAGGCCCCACTTGTGCAGGGCCCCCTCCCCCCAATGCTGGGTCATGCCACGCCAGCCTGTGGATTTTTGTCGTAACTCTTACCCCGAAGTGTCTTTGTTGTGTCTATTTACTTGTCTTCTTGTTTATCGGCTCTTCCCCACCACCCTCCTCCTCCCAGACATAGGCCGGGGAGAGCAGGGACCTTTCAATCCTACCGTCCTGTTCTGTGCTGTATCCTGAGCTGCTGGAATCGGATCTGGCTCAGAGTTGACTCTCAGTGGATATTTCTTGAATGAATGAATGAATGAATGAGCCCCTACTATGTCCCGGCACTGTGCTAAACCCTCTGTGTGAATTATCATCTATCCCCAGATGCCCTGTGACTAACCACTGTTACTCGATGGTTGCTGCCCATACAGAGGGGAGATGGAGGTTCATAGGAGTGATGGTCACCCGGCTAGGGAGTGGCCAGGGGGTGGTGATGCTCCAGGACAGGGGCAGTGGGGATGGGGAGGAGGGCGCCCCTCGGAGAGGCGGGGAGGAGGGGGAGGCCCGGGTGAAGGGGAGACTTGGAGATAGAGGCCAGGAGGACGCTCCGCCCGTGATGATGGGGAGGGTGCGATTAGGGGGAGGCTGGGGAAAATCCAGGCTGGCAAATGAGAGGGGGCTTTGGGAGTCCAAGGGAAGATCTTCAGCAGGTCGTGGAATCATAGAGCGTTGGAGTTGCAAGCGGTTCTCAGAGTCTTGGGGTCCAATCCTTTTACTTAATGGGGTTGGGACTGGGGCCCTTGGGGCTCTAACAGTGACCAGCCGGCCGGGACCACAGGCCACCTGCTCACCACCCTCACTGGCTCTTCGCTGCGTCCTTCTCTCTGCCTCTGTCCACCCCAGCGTCTCAGCTGTGGCCCATCTGTCCGTCCGTTGGGAGGCAGAGCTTTGTCCTCAGGCAGACCTGGGTTTGAGTCCAGCTTGGCCCCACTAGCGGTGCAACCTGGGGCAAGTTAATTAATATCTCTGAGCCCCAGGTTTCCCCTGGAAAGGATGATACGCACCCTGCTGAGTTTTTGTGAGGATTAGCAGTGATGTGCGCACATTACCTGCTGCCGAGTAGAAGCCGAATGTCCTCCTCTTTCTCCTCATTCATTGCTGGCACCAGTGTCTGGACAATAATAGTCCAGGCCTCCTCCACTCAGGAGGGTTGCAGGGACAATACTTTCTGACCCCCTGCCTTCGAGCCCTGGAATCCGACACCAGGACCTGGTTCCCTGTGGGCCCTTCACAGCATCCGGATCCCCATCCAGAGGCCGCCACAGGGGAGGAGTTTCCTCCTCTCAGCTCCCAAGACCACTGCCCTCAGTCCCAGCAACATGTGCAAATTCCAAAGAGGCTTCTGGAGACCTCACTCCCTGGGCAGAGCAGGAAGAAGGCTAGGGCCCGAAGCACTTGGCTGTCTGTCTGTCGGTCCCCGAGGCGAGGTGAGTTCTGGACCCCCAAGACATAGCCCAATAGACTCTCTCATTTATGGAGGGAAAGCCGAGGAGTCAGATTGATGGGGTATCTAAGTTGGAAGCTCTTTCGAGGGCGGGGGGTGGGGGGGTGGTCCGGCCCAGAGGGGTTCAGTGACTTGGCCAAAGTCACACAGCAAATTGAGGAAGGAGCTCAGATTGGAATTCAGGCCAAAGGATGCCCAGTCCAAAGTGTGTTCCAGTTTGTACAGCTTCCGCATTCTCAGAGTGACGGGGGATGGCATGGGGGAGAGACCAGAGGGTCGCCTGCAACTGTGGGGAAGCCGGAAGCACCCAGGGGGCAGGGGTGAGGGCAGCTGACCCTTGCAAGTGAGAGAGACGGTGGACTCTGGAGCCCAGGTGTTGGGTCCCCGCGGGATGGCCGAGGTGACTTCCAGGGAGCAGGAACAATGTCGACACCTCGGCCGGAGGGGAGCACTTCCTAGTTTGCAGGCCCTGTGCTAAGCTCCCAACATTGGGAAACTCATGTGTTGCTTCAGAGCCCGGGAGACAGGGTTTTTGTTGTCCTACTTTGCAGAAGAGGAGACCGGAGCTCATGGAGGTTGGGCGACAGGCCCAAGGCTCAGAGCAGGTGGCAGAGCTGGTGCCTGAACCCAGGTGTGTCCGACTACAGAGCCGGGGCTCCCGGCCGCTGCCTCCCGGGTGGCCACATCTGCGGTCTCATTGCCCCCTTGTAGGGATGCAGACACCCATTCTCGTGGGGTAGTGACTCTCCCCCAGATCGGGCCCGACTTCTGACGCCAGCTTCGCTTCCTTTCCCTGTGGCCTCTCCAGCTGCTTCAGGAAATCTGGAAGGTCGACTTCACCCTCCTGGGCCACCAGATCTTTTTTGACCAGCGAGGGGACCTACTCATGCGCCTGGAGATCATCCAGGGACGGTGGGACCTGAGCCAGAACCTTTCTGGAGCATCGCCTCCTACTGCCCGGTGCTACGACGGCTGAGGGCCATCTGTGACGTCTCCTGGCACACGGCCAAAAACACGGTCAGCTCTCGGAGGGCTGGTGGGGGGCTGGGACCTGGGTCTGGGCACTGGCTCGTGCAGGCGTGGCAAGGGCCCTGTAGACCTGAGATCCATTATCGAGCACTGATGGCGTCCCTATTTGTGGGTGTCCCTCCTCCCATTGACTAAGCACTGTGGAAGTCTAGAGATTTCTGGATCCTCGGGACCCAGGGGCTCAGGGGGCTGCGCAAAGTGAACGTTAGGTGGACACGTGTGTGCTAAGGACTTTAATTCTCATGTGAACCCCGGGAAATAGAGAGTACTGTTCCTCCTGTCTTTGGGGTTGGGAAACTGTAGGCACAGAGGGGGTCGCGTGACCCATAAAAGGCCACACAGCTTTCGCACGTCTCTATACGCAGCATTCAGTCTACATCCCATCGATTAGTACTCGCGTTTTGGGGACAGTAGCTGTGCCTTCACCTGTGTCTGACATCTGTCAATCTGAAAGCTCCTTTGTTTTACCCTCTTAGCTTACAAGCTGTCAGAATGGCCGTGATGTGGGGAAGGGTAGAGACCCAGCCTCGTGGGGAGGGGGGGAGGTAGGGGGATCTAACAGTTCAAAGAGCCAGGGCACCTGGGTGGCTCAGTCGGTTAAGCATCCGACTCTGGATCTCAGCTCAGGTCTTGATCTTAGGGTCGTGAGTTTAGACCCCTGTGTTGGGCTCCGTGCTGGGCGCGCAGCCTACTTAAAAATAATAATAAAACAAAAGCTCCGCCTGCCTTCACCAGTCCTCCCAATGGACTGCACACTTTATCCACAGTTTCTGTGGTCCCGGGTGCTTCTAGTTCCTATGCTTCATGGGGGTTTTTATGGAGTCAGTTGGGTTGTTGTCTTTAATGGTTTGCTAGGGCTGCTGTCACAAAGGGCCACAGTCTGGGGGCTGGAAGTCCAACTCAAGCCGTCAGTAGGGTTGGTTCCTTCTGGAACCCTCTCCAGAGGGAGGATGTTCCAGGCCTCTCTCCCAACTTCTGGTGGTTAGCTGGCCATCGCTGGCTTTCCTTGGCTTGGGGTTTTCTCACCCGACCTCTGTGGTCACCTCCACGGGCACTCTCCCTGTGGGGGTGTCTGTCTCCAAATCTCCCCTTTTATAAAGACATGGGTCATATTGGAGTGGGGGCCCGCCCTACTCCAGGATGACCTCGTCTTAACTGATTACCTCTGAAATGATCCTAGTTCCAAATAAGTTCACATTTTTAGGTCCTGGGGTTTCAGACTTCAGTGAACTTCGAGGGGACGCAAGTCAACAAATAACGGTGTCTTTGCCTGGGGTTTTTCCTGGGAAGCAGAGCCTGAGGCAAGGGTTTATGTGCAGTTTATTCCAGGATACACTCCATGGGAGCAGGAGTGGGTGATGGGGGAGAGTCCATTAGGGATAGAGAGAAAGTCAGTAGCAGGGAATGTTCTTAAGCTGGACACCGACTGTGAGCTCGATCTTACCGGAACCTTCCGAGGGACCACTTTAGAATTGTCCCCAGGGGAAGGAAGAGGGTGGAATGGATCCACTGGTCTGTACCACCCCCCTGCCCGCTGTGGCCCAAGGTCACCGCACGGGGCATTAACTCCCTTGTGCCTCCAGGTCACACACATGTGGGTGCCCAGCAGCTCCCCACGAGCATCTCACACGACAGCCCCCTGGGCAGAGAGCAAAAGAGACCGAGTGCAGCTTAGGGGAGGTGCTGACAGGTAACCCCTGCGTGGATTGGTTGCTATGGCAGGGGCAGGACTAGAAGGTGGGCCGAGAAAACGTGAGAGAAGCCACAGAGATGGATGGCCACCCGTCGCTGTGCTCACGTCCTCCCCACAGCCTGGTGGGCTGGCGCGTTTGGGCCAGCAGCCAGCCCGGCGTCTTCACGGGGACTCGAGTGGACACCATCACAGGCCCTGTAGCTGCAGTGGGGGCCAGGTGGAGCTGCTGTTCCTCATCCCTCCCTTCCACCATCCATTCCGGAGTCCTTCGCCCTTGGCCACTTGGCTGGTGGGGTGTTCTGGACATTTGTCCCCGGGTGTCTGAGCCCGTAGTCGCCTTGTCTGTGCCGGTCCGTGGTTGTGGCAGGTGTCCAGTAATGACCCGGCCACTGCGGTGAATCTTCTGGATTCCTTCCTACCCTCTAGTGTGGTGGGGACCTGGCCCCTCCTGCTAAGTTAACTACCTCCTCCTTTCTTGGCCTTCTCGTTCCCTGACGTGCGGCCCCTGAAAAGCCAGGAGGTAACCTAGCACCCATTTTGTCTGGGGATACGTACACATGTTCCCTCTTTGGGGGCCGGACCCTGGATTCCAGAAGAGTCCAGCCTGTGGGGACAAGAAACACCGGTTCTAACAACGAGCCCCCGAGAACAATGGTGAGCGTGGCCGAGCCTTCTTCTGCCCCGTTGTGGCTGGACCCACGTGTTCTAGCTGTTGGGGCCACAGTGCTACATACCCGCCTTTCATTCAATGCTTATACCTCACCCTGAAGGGCAGTGTCCCTACCCTCAAGGTGTTGTCTGTCTCCCAGCTGGTACCTTACCTGAACGCTTAATACAACATACCATCGTTTTATCAGACGGGATACTTCTCGATGGTGGTGTGGAATGTGTTGGGATCAGTGGATCCTGTGGTCATGTGCCCACATCACACCCCCTTTGCCGCACAATGGGTCTCTTGTCTGGGGTGACTTTGTGGGGGGACCCATGACACTAACTTATTCACTCTGTATGCCCTGGGATGGGGGTGCTGCGTGGCAGACAGGGGAGGCACGTTCTTACACGGATGAGTCAGTGCTCCCTCCAGGGAAGAAGGCACCTGCGGTTGATAGATGGGCCAGCATCCATGTAGAATGGAACCAAATCAAGGGCTCAGTGTGGGTTCCGGGCTGGAAGGTTAGGTATTCAGCGGTGGCAGTAGCTATGCCGACCACGGAGAGGAAGCCCAAGCCGCTGAGCTCCCACCCACAGCCCCCATCCTCGCCACCGCGGGCACTCCGTGCAAGCCCCGGGGCGGCTGACCCGTACTGGAAGCTTCGTCCTTTCCGTCTGGTTCTTCATCGCTCCCTGGGTTCTCGACGGGCATGGGCCCGAGACACAAAGATCATCAGGCTTTGCGCTCACTCTCGTACATCCATGCACACACTCTTCCGCCCAGACGATGTCTTCTCCACTCTTCTGGTCTTGTTCTTTCCAGGCCCACCGAGCAGCCGGCCAAGCCATTCGTCGCTGCCCAGCCGTCCAAGAATATCCACTCTCCGGGGCCTTTGTCCGTCCACACCAAGCGAACAAACACGTGCTGTGCTCTCAACTCTACCCCCTGGGGACACGTTCCCTCGTTACCGCCCTTCGGGGGCGTCCCCGAGAGGAGCCTAGTGTGGCGACGGTCCGTTTTGAGCTCACGTTAATATATCAAGCTGGGGATAGATTACCTGTGAATCACTGACCTAAGAAACATACATGTCCGTCCCCCCTCCCCCCCACCCCCGGGGCCTGCTTTGGCCTGATCCCAAATGTGCCATTTCCGTTGCGTGGACATTTGCCACTCTTCCTGCCTGACCACGAGCTCCGTGCCTCTGAGAGTCACTTGATGTCCTCAGGCCACGTGCTTGTTCTCCACGAAGGCCCAGCAGGACACCAGGAGCTGATTTTCAAATAGCGAGTCGTGCTCTGGTGGAAGGTATGTTGTAGCTACGTTTTGCAACCTCTCGAACTGGGGCTGGACCCTCTTGTCCCCCGCAGATGACGCTGGCATCAGCAAATCTGCTTGGCCACATGGCCCGAGTGGCAAGGACAGCACGTCCTACAGCCAGAGCCTGCTTCAGGGTCCTCCTCCGGGCTTGTCATCGTTTGCCTGGAAACCGGACGTCGTCCGAGCCACCTGATAAGTGCGGGTTGCAGCAGTCTTTCCAAGAGCGATTTATGCGGTCGCCCCCAATCTCGAGAGGTTCGCCAAGTGCCAGACGTCTCTAACGGCAGAAGGCAGAAGATGTCACAAGTCGCCCTGTCGCGTAGACAGGATGTCCTGGCCTTTCCCAGACCACAGGAGCCCTGAAAACATCACTGGTGTGGCAGGGCCCTTATCACATACCCTCGTACCTAAGTATTTGTGTCTCGCGTGGGCGTGAAGGGTGCTTCCTGCTTCCTACTCACCAGATCCCGTCGGTACGATGCCATGAATAAACTGGACCCGCATGATGTTCTGCCGAATGTCAGAGTGATCCAGTTCCATGTGGACAGAGAATAGAAGAGTAAACTTAACTGTAATAAGACAGCAATGGTAGTGATTTGAGAGCTTTCTCCTCTTTTAATCAGGCATTTAGAGCTGCACAATCCCCTCTAAGTACTGCGTTCACTGCCTTCTATAAGTTTGGGTATATATTAATGTAAAATAATTTTTTAATGTTTATTTTTGAGAGAGAGAGAGAGAGACAGAGGCAGAGCATGAGCCGGGGAGGGGCAAAGAGAGAGGGAGACACAGAATCCGAAGCAGGCTCCAGGCTCCGAGCCGTCAGCACAGAGCCCGACGCGGGGCTCGAACCCACAGGCAGTGAGATCATGACCTTGAGCTGAAGTCGGACGCCTAACGGACTGAGTCACCCAGGCGCCCCGAAACTTTATACTTCTTAAACACTAACTCCCCGCTCTCTCCTCCTTCCCGCCCCTGAAGCCACCCTTCTACATTCTGGTCCTATGAATTGGACTCAGAACCTCATATAAACGGAACCACACAGCATTTGTCTTTCTGTGACTGGCTAATTTCACTCCACATCATGTTCTTACGGTTCATCCGTTTTGTGGCGTGTGTCAGAATTTTCTTCCCTCTTTAGACTGAATAATTCATTCTAGGTATATATCACATTTCGCTTATCCGTTCATCCATCAATGGACACTTGGGTCGCTTCTACATTTAAGCTATCGTGAATAATGCTGCACTAAACACGGGGGTACAAATGTCTCTTTGAATCTCTGCTTTCAATTCTTTTGAGTAGACACCCAGAAGTGGAAGCCGGATCGTGTGTTAATTCTGTTTTTAATTTTTTGAGGAACTGCCATACCGTTTTCCACCACCGCCATCCCAGGCTACACTCCCGGCAGTGAATGAGGAGGTTCCGGTTCCTCTGCATCCTTGCCAGCCCGGGTTATGACCCGTTTTTTTGATAGCAACCATCCCAATGGGCGTAGGCTGGTCTCTCACTGTAGTTTTGATTTGCCTTTCCCTCATGATTACTGAGCAGCTTTTCAAGTACTGATTCGCCATGTGTGTATCTTCTTTGGAGAAGTCTCTGTTCGGGTCCTTTGTCCATTTCCGAGTTCAGTTATCATGTTTTAGGAGTTCTTTGTATATGCTAGATATTAATCCCTTGGTAGATGAACAACATGCAGATACTGTCTCCCATTCTGTGGGATGCCTTTTTACGCTCTCCGTACATCACCCTCTCTGTCGTTTGGTGGACAAACGTTTTCCATTTTCATGAAGTCCTAGCCAGGAAGGTCATTGCCAGGTCCAGTGTCCTGAAACTTGTGCCCGGTGTTTTCTTGTAGCAGCTTTTATGATTTTAGGTCTCCCTGTAAGTCATGGATCCATTTTGAGGTACCCGCACGTGGCATTAGGTCCAACTTTATTCTTTTGTACGTGGATATCCAGCGTTCCCAGCACCATTCATTGGAAAAACGATCTTTCCCCCACTGAATGGTCTTGGAACACCCATCAAAAATCATTTGACCGTATGTGTGAGGGTTTGTGTCTGGACTCTCTGTTCTATTTTATTGGTCTGTATGTGTGTCTTTTTAAAAAAACAACAACAACACAAAACTCTTTTTTTTTAATCTTTCTTTATTCTTGAGAGAGAGACATGGTGTGAACAGGGGAGGGACAGAGAGAGAGGGAGACACAGAATCCGAAACAGGCTCCAGGCTCTGAGCTGTCAGCACCGAGCCCGATGCGGGGCTCAAACCCACGAACAGCGAGATCGTGACCTGAACCGAAGTCGGACGCTCCACCGACTGAGCCCCCAGGCGCCCTGTATGTGTGTTTTTATGCCAGCACCACAGCGCTTGGGTTACTGTAGCTTCGCAGTTCAGTGTTGAAGTCAGGAAATGTGCATCCCCAGTTTTGTTCTTTTTCAAGATTGCGTTGGGAACTCAGGGTCCCTTGAGATGCCATCTGAATTTTAGGATGGGTTTTGCCCCACTCTACAAAGTGAAGTTGTTCCCTCCCATCACCGAAAACTCCAGGAGTGGCCCATGAGACTCCAGGCACGGATAGATCCAGGGTCTCATTCCCTCCAGATCTCAGGTCCTTCCTTGGAATGTCCTCCCTCTATGGAGACACGATGGCTGCTGGCAGCCCCAGAGCCACATCTTATCTGCCCGGCAATCTCAGAAAGTCTCCGTCTCGACAGTCGCGCGCTGTTACCTGAAGAAGGTGGACCAGGTCTCAGGCAGGCCAAACGAAGGGGGGGGGGGAGGGTCCCTACAACGGTCCCGTTCTAGTAGCAATCCCTGCTCCTTCCCCATCCCGGACAGGGGCCAGGCTCCCTTTCCTGAGCATCCTGCTGGTTGGGCTCAGGATCTTTTGCCTTCCTCCCTCCAGATCCCTGTGTCCATGTGTTCCAAGGACTGCCAGCCTGGGCAAAGGAAGAAGCCCGTGGGTATTCATCCCTGCTGCTTCGAGTGTCTCGACTGCCTTCCAGGCACCTTTCTCAACCAAACTGCAGATGGGACTCACAGACCCACACCCCTGCCCTGCCCTGCCCTGCCCTGCCCCGCCCTGGGGTTCTCAGGGCCCTCATCTTTGGCAGGGTCCCTGGAGTCTCATCCAGGGGACACAGGTGTCCAAAGCCAAGGACCATGTCTGATTCCGCTTGTATCTCCCTAACCGCTGGTGTAAGAAAAATCTTCAATGCTGTGAGGGCGTGGGGGTTGGAGAAGGAACAGCCCTCAACCAGGCGAGGCTGTAACTGATCCCCTCTGCACACACATGTAGCTGAGGGCCCAGGGGGGTCAGGCCAGAGAATGTCCACTGGATGAATGAATGAATGAACGAACGAACAAACACACAAATGAATGAATGTCTCTGTCCGTAGAAGAAATGTTTCTGGCAGACAGGGCTAGGATCTAATTTCTCTCCATGGCCTCCCGAGTGCCTCGTGTAGTTCGGAGGATATAATGTTTGCTCGGTGAATGTTTATTGAGTGACATCCTTGATGAGAAGAATTGACATCTCCCCCTATAGATCATAAACTCCAGGAAGGGGGCGACAATGTCATCCCTCCAGTGTTTAGCACAGTTCACCGTTGGGGCCGAATTATTTTTTTTTTCATGACTTCACAGATTAGTAACTACGCGGTTCTGTACATCTACCGATCAGAGTACTTACGACGTGCCCAGCAGAGCCCAGGGCACAGAGTAGGTGCTCAACAAAAGGTTGTTTGCAATTGGTCAGTAGCCGGAAGTCAGGGGGCTCGGTTTTTTCCACGTCTGTGCTCTCCCATCTCAGATGCCTATCACAGTGGATGGCGCTCAAAAAGCAACTTGAATAAACGGTCGAATGTCCATCTCACCAGAGGGTACGGTCTCGGAAGGGAGGCATTATGGTTGCCAGGCTCTGAGTCAAGGGGACCTTGGACCACATCCTGCCTCTGTAACTGTCTGGTTTTGTAACTGCCTGGAGGAGCCTCAGATGCCACATCTGTGAAATGGGGTTGCAGTGAGGATCTGATGGGCCGGTGGATACGAGGGACGCAGTGAGAGGTGGCTACGACCGCAGGCATCGCCCTTGGCTCGCCCCCTCCCTACCCCTACAGCCTGGCCGGGTGCAGGTGCAGAGGATGTGGGTGCCGGGAAGGTGGGTATATCTGACGGGAACTGCTGTGGGCTCTTGCAGACGAGTTTGGCTGCCGGCTCTGCCCGAGTTGCGGATGGTCCCGGAGGAACGACGCTTCCTGCTTCAAGCGGCGGCTGGCCTCCTTTGAATGGCGCGAGGCACCCGCCGTCGCTGTGGCCGTGCTGTCCATCCTGGGCTCCCTCCGCACACTGGCCATCCTGGTGATCTTCTGGAGGCACCGCCACGCGCCCATGGTTCGTTCGGCCGGGGGCCCCAGGTGCTTCCCGATGCCACTGCTGCTGGCATAGGTGACGGTCCCCATGTACGTCGGGCAGCCCACGTTTTTCGTGTGCCTCGGCCGCCAGACCCTCTTCACCCTCTGCTTCACCGTCTGTATCTCCCGTGTCACCGTGCGCTCTTTCCAGATCGTCTGCGTCTTCAACATGGCCAGGCACCTCCCGCATGCCTACGGCTACTGGGTCCGCTACCACGGGCCCTGTGTATTTGTGGCGTCCTTCACGGTGCTCAAGGTGGTCATCGTGGCGGGCAACGTGCTGGCCACGACCGCCGAGCCCGCCGCCCGCCCCGACCCCGATGACCCCAAGATCGCGGTTCTCGCCTGCAACTACCACAACGTGCTGCTGTTCAACACCAGCCTGGACCCGCTTCTGTCCGTGGCGGGCTTCAGCTTCGCCTACGTGGGCAAGGAGCTGCCCACCACCCACAACGAGGCCAAGTTCTTCACCTTCCGCATGACCTTCTGCTTCACCTCTTCCATCTCCCTCCATACCTTCATGTCTGTCTACGAGGGGGTCCTGGTCACCATCCTGCACCTCGTGGTCGCAGTGCTCAACCTTCTGGGCGCTTTGGCCCCTGGGCTACTTCAGCCCCAAGTGATGCATGGTCCTCTTCTACCCGGATCGCAACACGCCCGTCTACTTCAGCAGCATGATTCAGGGCTACACCACCGGGAAGGACTAGCACTGCCCCCTGGCTGCCCAGGGGGGGCCAGAGGGCTCCGCCCTGGGAGATGGAGACCGGGGGTGGGGCTGGGGGTGGTGGTGACTCGTTCAGCCCCTGCTGGGAGCAGGGACGCCACCCCGCCCTACTCTCTGATTTGGCCTCCCCCTCCAGGTTCTCTGCACCCTGGCCGTTTTTACCCACCCGCTGGTGGATGCTTAAAAATACTCACGCTTTCCCTGCAGCTGTTTGGCTTGCCAGGCACTGCCACCCATGCTAGGAAAAGGATCCTGGGTGACCTCCCTATTGGTCTCCAAGACAGAGATGGATCGAAGCAGCCCACAGTCGCCATCTGGTGGTCACAGCGGGTGTCCGCAGGTTCCGGCTCGGGGCAGCCATGCTGGAAGGCTGGGCTGGGGCTGGTATTGGGGGACATCTGCCCGGCATCATTCACTCCCTGCCCACGTGTCTGCACCTCACCTCCCAGACTCCCCCGCCGCCCAGCTTGGAACCCAGTTTGGGACCCAGCTTCTCTGAGTCATGGCTGCGCATAGGGGCTGCTTCATAAATGCTTATGAATAAACCTCCCTTGGGTGAAAGGAAGGCGTTTCCTTCTTGTTTCCAGAGGTTCCGCCCCCCCCCCCCCCCCCAAGAAAGAAGACTGGGATCGGAGACCTCAGCTTCCATTTCCGAGTTGACACTTCTGAGCTGTGTACTTTGGGCCAATTCTATTTACTGTTTCGGAGCCTACACGGCCCCTTCTCTAAAATAGGAACAATAAACCAAGGGCACCCTTGACACACTGTGTATTAGCCAATTTGACGATAAATTATATTTAAAAAGATTAAAAATAAATCAGATAAAATAGGAACAATACCTACTTCGCCAGGACATCGGAGGATCGGAGAGAATGGGCGTGAAGTGCATACAGTAGGTAGTCAATAAATGCCAACCATTTTGCAAGTTCACATGTCCCTCGAACCATCAGGCTTCAAAAGGAGGCTGTGTCTCCTTTTTACACCCAAATGTCCATGGTATATGTTCGAGTCCGTGGTACCAGCCTCTTGCGGCAACTGGCTTTGCCCCCAGAAAATTCTGGGTGTCGTCTTGCGGTACTTGGGCCCCCCATGTGCTCGGAGCCGCCCCGGCACCGCTGAACCTGGAAGACGCTGCCATGCTGAGTTCAGCTGTGCCTGTGCCCATCACCCTCGATGGCGGGAGGAGCCCTGACTTCGCCGTCCAGGGGTCAGAGCCGGCCTGTCACAGCTCACCAGGGAGCCCCAACTTCCCTGCCGACGCCTCCGAGCTGCAGCCTGGAGAGGCTGAGTGACGGGCTCAGGAATCAGTTACTGGCGTGACCTCGTGACTGTGTCAGGACTCCCCTGGGAGTGATTTCTAGATTGGCCCAACACCGGCCCTGGCAGGAGCAACTTTCCGGAAGCTTCATGTGCGGCAGGGAAGGCAGGACTCCCTCTGGTCCTGAGTTTCCGTCTTTCGTGCTTCAAGGTGGCGGGTGATGGGATCTCGCTTTGAATCACCTGGAGTTTGGGAAAACAGCCTCCGTATTTTGGGAGCTGCTTCTCCATAACAGCAATGGCAGGGACGGTCCCCGTTCCCCTTTCCTGAGCATCTTTCCAGAGCCGGCCCACGCAGGTGCTCCATGAATATCGACCGGACTGTCACGTTGCTCGTCCCCCCTTCTCCTCCACCACTGTTCCCTCAGGCCACTGCATCATGAATCCCATTCATGTCCCGTGGCCTTGCGTGCTGGACCCTGAGAGGCATCTAGAAATACAGGACAGGGGCGCCTGGGTGGCTCGTCGGCTGAGAGTCCGACTGTTGATTTCAGCTCGGGTCATGATCCGAGGATCGTGGGTTGGATCCCCGCATTGGGCTGAGCGTGGGGCCTGCTGAAGATTCTCTTTCTCTCGGGGCGCCCGGGTGGCTCAGTCAGTTGAGCATCCGACTTCGGCTCAGGTCATGATCTCACAGTTCATGAGTTCGAGCCCTGCATCGGGCTCTGTGCTGACAGCTCGGAGCCTGGAGCCTGCTTTGGATTCTGTGTCTCCCTCTCTCTCTGCCCCTCCCCTGCTTGCACTCTGTCTCTTGAAAATGAATAAACATTAAGGAGATTAAAAAAAACAAAAAACTTAAAAGATTCTCTTTCTCTCTCTCTCTCTCTCTCTGCCCCTCCCCCTGCTCTGTCTCTAAAATAAAATAAACAAATAAATAAAAGAAATATAAGATAAACACCTGCGCTCACCATCGATGAGGAGGCAGCTAACACGAATTACCCTCCCCGAAGGCTTTACTGCATTATCCACTATCCTGTCCTTGTTTTACGGGTGGGGGGAGCTTCCCCAGCCCCTCACAGCCGGGCCCAGATGCCTCGCCCGGGGAGCTGCTACGGGGAACCCGGTCATGGCGGGAAGGGCACAGTCTCTCCCCTTGGGAAGGACTCTGGGGCGGTGGGCGGGGGGAGGCTGGCGTTTGGAAAGAGCAACCAAGGGCGGAGAAGTGCTTGGGGCGGGGGCAGGAAGTCTCAGTGTGAAGACAGAAGGTGGGGGCGGCAGGAGCTAAGGTGGGTGCAAGGAGACCCGGGGGGCGGCCCGAGTAGGAGCGCGTGGCTGGGGTGGCCGGTGTAATAAGCGGGCTTGGAAAGAGAGCCAGAGCTAGACGGTGCGGACCCTGACCTTGCCCACCTGGTACCCACTTCCGGCACCCGTGCGCACGCTGGCTCGCTCCCTCCGGGGTCCCCTGAGGGGCTCCTGGCCACCCCTTGCTTCTGGTCTTATTCCTACGGTCCTGAGCGCTGGCCTGGCCCCGACAGCTGGAGACTGCCCGGGAAGCCCCCAGGGGAGAACGATTTGCACCCCTTCCCTGTCCCCTGCTCTTGCCTCCCAGGGGAGACCCCGCCCAGTCCCCAGCTTCCAGGGAGCAGCTCTGTGCCCCGTCTGTTCCTCGAGGTGCCCATGTCCCATCCCCCTCACCCTCGGGACCAGATTGCCAAGCTCAGGGAGTTTTAAGCTCTTAATTCTCTTTCCTTGCATGCTTCTGACGCCTTGGTTTACAACTTTTTTTTTTTTTTTTTAAGAGATAATGACCTCCTTTTCCTGCTTCTGCCTCATGGACCCCCATTAGAGAGGGAATCCTGGAACCCCGCTGCCCTCGGAGGCATCCGCTCCACACCTCCCCCTACAGCTGCCCTGAGCTGAGATGTTGGTCCTCTCTTGTTCCCCTCCAGTGACGGGAGGCCCATGGAAGACAACGCCAGCTGTTAGAAATGTTTCTTAGATTGACTCACACCCGACCCTTGGGATTTCCGTTTACGGACATCCGTTTCATCTTTGGGGACGGCACATTAAATCTCATTTTTCTTGCTCACGATGGTCTTTTATACCCAATGACAAAAAGAATAGTGGCCTCTAGGGGTGCCTGAGTGGCTCAACTGGCTGAGCGTCTGGCTTCAGCTCAGATCATGATCTCACCGTCTGTGAGTTCGAGCCCCGCGTTGGGCTCTGTGCTGACAGCTCAGAGCCTGGAGCTTGCTTCGGATTCTGGGTCTCCCTCTCTTTCTGCCCTTCCCCCACTCGTGCCATGTCTCTGTCTCTCAAAAATAAATAACACTAAAAAAATTTTTAAAAGGGTGGGGGGGTGGCTCCTGGGTGGCTCAGTCGGTTGAGCTTCTGACTTCAGCTCAGGTCATGATCTCGTGGTTTGTGAGTTCGAGCCCCACGTCGGGCTCTATGTTGACATCTCGGAGCCTGGAGCCTGCTTCCGATTCTGTGTCTCCTTCTCTCTCTGCCCCTCCCCTGCTCCTGCTCTGTCTCTCTATGTCTCAAAAATAAAGATAACCATTAAAAAAATTTTTTTTTTATTAAAAAAAAAATGAATAGTGGCCTCTTGAGGAGGGTGCCACACGTGGGATCTCTAATCCCCACAATGACTGCCCCATGGGTACCAGTGACCCCCTGAAGCCCCCATGCTCCTAGGAGAGATCTCTGCTGTTCTAGGGGAGCTGACTCTGTCCTGGCTCCAGGGAATGGAGTCAGGTGACCTTGGCCGAAGGTTGGTCCAGGCAGAGGGACTCCCGGGATTTTTCCTGGGACAAAGGTTCTTCCTGTAGAAACCGGCAAGGCTGAGACACAGCAGCTCGGGGCAACGCTTGTGGGACCACAGGGCAAGTGAGCCTTAGAGGAAAGCTGGACTTTGCAGAAGGCCAAGTGCAAAGATGGAAAACCTGGGTCCTTGGAACCGTTTGAGCCCATGGATCTTACTTGGAGGCGGCCCTTCCTCCGAAACCTCCCGCGAGTTGAGTTGGGTTTTCTCTCACTTGCAGCCCAACACATCTGTGTCTTACCCAAGAGGAAACCGAAGCTCAGAGAGGCTGATTAACTTGCTCGGGGTCAACCAGCTTACAGGTCGGGGAGCTGGGACTTGGAGAATTGGGGGTGGGGTCCGGCTATTGTGATCTCAGATCATCCCTTTTTTGTCTCGAGGTTTGTCCGTTGCTCTGGGGACCGGATTTTGAATCCCAGCCTCGTCCTCTCCTTTGGACACACTCTCTCCGACCTCTTAGGGCACCTCTCAAGCTTCCCCCTCTTGGAAGCCTGACACCCTTCCCATACCAGTCCAGCTGAGCGACGCCCCCTTGACCCAGTCTCGGTCGCAGGCCTCTGCGGCTCAGACCCCTTCTGTGGCTCCCCAAGGCCTGGCCTCCTTCGTGGAAGAGGCAGGTGCTTTGTGCTTCAGAATCTGGCTCCTGCTCGCCTCTCCAGCCTCACCCCCCAGCGGCTCCCGTGGGATCCCGGCGATTCCCCAAACACAGGCCTGGCTTCGCATCTGTGCTCAAGCTGTCCCTTCTCTCTTGTCCCTGCATTCATCCCTTGAGGCCCAGTTGAGACACTTCAGTCCCTGGGGAAGGCTTCCCTGCCTTGGGGCAGAGGAGTCCTTTGCACCGTCCAGAGCTGCTTGAGTTTCACCCTCCCTGGTCCCGGCCTGTGACAGGCTGCTGCCTTTCCGGTCTGTGAGCCCTTGAGTCAGAGGCAGGCCAGTCTCTGTGTGGCCTTCCTGTCGCCTGTGGAGCCACCTCCAATGCATTGGCTGCTCGAGGCGCTGGGCATTTGTTGCCTGGGCAGTGAAACGCAGGTGGGGGGGGGGGGAGTTTGCAGGGGCTGGCCCCCACCTGCTGGGACCTGGTGGGACCTGGGTGTGGTCTGGGGCCCTGGGGCCAGGCCGGGCTGAGTGGGCTACCTTCCATGGCGGCTGGGCTGCAGGGGTGTGGAGAGGGTGACAGAGGGAAGGCAGAAAGCTGGACTTTGGCCTCACAGGCAAGGACAGGTTGGCAGTAGGATCACTGACGACGTCCCCGATCTTGTCACCCCTGACTCCTCTCTCTCACCCTGCATCCGATCTGTCAGCAACACTGAATAGATCCCAAACCTGGGGTGAACTTGGGTTCCAGCGACAGCCTCCCAGCTGCTCTCCCTGCTTCTGCCCTGCCCACTGCAGTAGGTCACTTCCTATCCCTCCTCTGCTCAGTCCCGGGGCTCCCTCTCTCTCTCCAATGAAGAGCCGTGGTCCTTATGCCGGCGTGAGACCCCCCCAGGGCTCCCCACCACCCCTCCTACCTTGCTGTGGACGCCCCACCCTCGACGCCTCCTGCAGCCACACTGGGCTTCCTCTCCATCCCCAAACGTGCCACGTGTGTGCCCCAGGGCCTTTGCACTGGCTGTTCCCTCTTCTTGAAATGCTCTTCCTCAGCTTGTCACCTGGCTGGTTCCTTCGTTTCCTCGTTT